CAATGATCTTTGTCCTTTGCTGGTAGATTGCAGTTGCTAAAGTCTGTCATATCGGGAATCTCAAACTTCTGGTGCTCTTCCTTCATCCTCCCAAAGCGTTGTTGTATATCCACAATCAACTCCCTATGCGGAGTTTTCCAGTGGAAAGGGAACACTGACAGTCATCACAGTGCTAGAGTCGCTTGGGATAGTGTTATAAATAAAAAAGCAGGGGGAGGGTTGGGTTTGGCTGACCTTTTTACCTTTGGAACAAAGCATGTTCTCTAAAACTGATTTGGATGCTCTTCTTCAAGTCTGGCTCAATCAGGGTGGTTGCTTGGGTGAACCGTATGGTCCTATCTGGCAAAATAGAAAACTTCTGTACTGTCAGAACAAACCAGAAATTCTCTTGGCTGATTAATCAAGCTCCGTGACCAAATCTACCCTTGGATCAATTGGTCCCCTTTTGGAAAGCTTATTACCTACTTTGGATACGAAGGGCCATTCCAGTTGGGAATCCCAAAACACACCACATTTGACAAACTATGGAGACAAGGAGGCTGGTGTTTACCACCTGCAAGATGAGAGAAACAGGTCATAATTCAAATCTCTATGTCCAGCTTGTCATTAACTCAGGGTTGGGAAACAGATGACTCTCCTCAACCAAGCAGCTCGATAAGCATATCTATTATCTTATATCCAACCAGAGATCGTCTTCTCAAACGGATGCCAGATGTCTTCTTTACAACTCCGACTTCAGAAAGCAGATCTCGTCTCTTCTTCGATTGTCCCACTAGTTGGGATCTCTGGTCTCGAGTAAGCAGAGCTTCAGGATCTAGACTAACCAGGAACTAGGAGGACACTCTTCTATCCATCTCTCATATAACTAGTTGGGATCTCTCCAAAGAAGAAGCTTATTAGACTAGCGTGGCAAGCAAGGATATACTACCTCTGGGCTGAACGCAACAACAGGCTGCACCGGAACAGTTTCAGATCTGTGGACTCCATCTTCAAGCTGATCGACTCAACGATCAGAAACAGAGCTTCGGGACATGAATCCGACCATGGCTTCAGCGATTCTGCAATTGTGGTTCGCAGGTACCCTCACACCACGACTATGAAACCCCCTTAATCCCTTCTCGTGACGACAACAACTACTTTCTCTCATTATTGGTCGGTTCGGTAAGAATAATTGATTAACCAGCAACTGATTTTCTGGTTTGTAGCTGGTTCGATTATGACAATATTTGGTTAGGTTCATATTGGATTCACTAGCTCTCGAAAACAATCTGGCTTTGTAATATTTTATTTTCTTTATGCTTTAAATATGAATATCTTTTTTCTT